CTTTATGTAAAAATTTCAAATAAATATTCAATAAAGATAGAGGCATGGCCTCACCATTAATATTAAAAAAAAAAAATATATATAATATATATAGAAACTAGAATGTTTAAATAAAAAACTTACAGATGGGTTTTAAGTATAACAAATAGTATAGAACCTTTGTTAAACTACTTAAATTAGATAATAACTAAAATTATATAAATAACTAGTTATATATTTTTTCTATGATTTTCTTTATAATTATTGTACAAATAATTATTAATTGAAAAGATACTTTTGCATCAATTTTTGATTATATACAATTTAAAGGCTTTTATATAATCTTTAATCTCTTTTAAATTGTCTTTAATGAAATTAAAAAGAATAATATTTTGTATATATCAGTTATTTTTTTTTTATTAATCTGTCATTATAATTATGCAAGTTAGTTTTTTAATAAGCTTATCATTAGAATACTCACCTTATAATCTTGACAATGCTCATGATAAGCAATACCAAAGATAATAATAAACTATTTATCAAGATGTTTTATTATTAGCCCACTATTTATAAACTTTGGATTGAATATCCTATTACATAATATCACTGTTATAAAATATGAATTTACTACAATTGTTGTCATGTGTGTTAGATGAGATGTACTTGTAGAATCAGTCTATCATGAAACATAAATATTGTGATAATTATCAATATTTAGAATAAAAAGTTTATTCAAATATTTAGAAAGTGTATTTTCTACATATTTTTTATAAGTGATACAATTTTTTTTCTTTTAGTCTACTAATCTTAATATTGTAAACACAGCAAAATTTGCCAATATATCTATGCCTTCATTATTTATACCTACAGAATTCAAATAATACATTACATCAAACTTAAAAAAATTAATTTTTATATTATTTAATAATATAAGAAAATAAAAATATGAATAATTAATTAATATGATCAATTGATTTTTTATTATGCTCAAGTATCCTAACTGCTAAATAAAAGTTAATTCAAAAATTTTCCAAATATTTATTTGCTTAAAATACTTTTCACCCACTTTTCCTTAGTTAAATTATTATTTTCTGCTTCTTTTCTCTTTTTGTCTTTCAAAGAGTAAAATATAGTTAGCTTAGTAGTTCTGCAATTCATGTAATCCTTAGAATTAATCATTGTCTTTACTAAGCAAATTTAATATGAAGGTCGAATGATTTAGAATGATTTAACTGATATTCTTATAGTATGGTACGAAAGCTTCAAGTTTACTTAGAACTCTTAGGCTGGTTAAAAGATGAGATAATCTACCCGAGCTTCCGAAAAAAGTATTATAAACCGTATAAAAAAAATCTTTATTAATTGTGTAACGATCTACAAGGTCGGGGCACTCGGTAAGGTCCTACCTCGAGTGTGCAACACATAAAAAAATTATTTTAAAATACCAGATCATTCCGCTAATATTATAATCAACACCATTTTATTATAATAAAAATGGTGTTGGATTATAGGATCTGACATTGTAAAATAATGTTTTTATGTGTTGCACACCGGGCGAAGGATCAATCGTCACTCTCATTTTCAAATTTCGACATTTTAAAATCAAACTTTATATCGTAGCAAAATTGCATAAAAATTCAACTGCCTAGTAATAATATCATTAACAACATAAAATACACGATTAAAGAAATAAATACTTATAGACAAATATTATTTAAAAATATAAAATACATCGATATATATATATATATATATGCTTCTGTATTACATATAAGTAATATAAAACATTATGACATAAGTACGTAACAAATAAAATTAATACGCTCTATTATTTGCTTCTCTTCTGAATGTTTTCTCCGGCAGTACCAAAAATAATAAACACCACAATCCCAATTATACTACCAGCCACATCGTTTCCAGATACACCAATTTGTAGTGGAACATTTAAAAATATGTCAATCCATGTGTTAATCGAAGCAATCAAACTTATAACTAAGAAACCGGTTGAAAACAAAGCCATACGAATTGCGGCATTACGAGTTATTTTATGTTTTGTTTTTGATTCTGTTATTTGAGTGTGACGTTTACCTGTCGGATTGACAGCATTTTTTATATTGATAAGCACCGTAGATGGATCTCTTTCTTGTGACACCGCTAATGTCGAAAAAGTTCGTAGAGTTTTGTCTGAATGATTAAATACTATCCAGGCAACTCGACCTAATCATTATGAATATTTTCAATAAGTTAATATGCAAATAATGTAGACTGGTACGTACGTGCGTTTCCCCGAAATTTAATAACATTTTCATGAGAAAACATATTTATTGTTTTTAATATAATACTATAATTTCAAATTCTTGGGGAAACTTGTGTTGGAAATGGAAGCGCTTATACATACCACTCCAATATGCACCAGGTATAGCGATCAATACGTTTACACCTGCATACCCAAATAATCTCACCCAAGAAGGATTTGTAATATCACTATCATATTGTAGGCAATAGATTATGTGATAATATTGTATGGATATATGGATATTGAAAAGTGGACATTAGATGGATCAAAACTTACCAGCATAAAGTATGAACATTGATGGAATTAAATTCAGAAGAAATCAAAGCAAGAATTGAAGTCATTATAATAGGATAGGCAATCATTAAAGAATAGACCGATTTAATAAAGGTTGAGGATTTTTTAATCTTTAAAACTATTAATCGATATGATTCCCAAGTGAAGTAAAGTGCGGCCATACTTGTCATATATGCCGTAAATTGAAGCTATTTGATGAAATGAAATGAAATTAGATTAATTCAACATATTTAACCAATTAAAGAAATTTTGTTTTATTTGTATACCATTAATCCTTGAGCTATGCAAAATTGCCTTGGTGCTTTACTCAAATCGTTACCCCAAATAGTACTAAGTAGTACGTTCAAGCTCATTAGCGCAATTGATATAGAGAATATTTTCATTATTTTACGATTAAATGCTATTGTCATATATATAGCACATACTAATGAGATGGACCATAGAGTGTATACAAAAACATTAAGAGGTTCGCTATCATCAAATATAGATCCTGAATTTGACATTGTTTCTCAAAAAAGCCTCCAGTTATGAAAGTGTGTTTATACAAGAAAAAAAGGTGATTCTCATATATAAAAGTTTTCTTCAATGATATATGTAAATGCTGATTTCAAAATGAGGGTTGATTTTAGATGAATGTAAGACTATTATATGTCTAATCTTCACACTCAAAACAATGAAAATGACGATCCAAGTTTTTCTTTTCATGTTATGTCAAAATCATTCTTTAAAATTTGCGTAAGTACGTATGTTGGATAGAACACATGAAACTTTTTTGTCGATCTCTTTCTCAACAAAGAAATACATATTGTTTGGTTGTTTTTGGTCATATAAAGGTAACGAAAAGGGCCCTTATTACATTAAAAAACCATTCAAAACAAGTATACATTTACTGATTCGGGAGTTATCAAACTTTAAAGTTTACAAAATTTCGACATATAGCCCGCATACACTATGAAAATTAAGAATGTTCTGCCGAGAATAAGACCAGAAATTGCATATCGACATTTAAAGAATGTCGATAAAAGACCTTGCATATCACTAAAATAGGGTCTACTGATTATACTACGTACGTACGTACGTACTTATTATTATGTCGTTATATGTATATATTACATACATGTGAAATCCTTATTACAAAGTTGGAAGATCAATAATGTTATAAGCCAATCAGGGGTAATTCACTTAGCCGTCGATTTTTTGGAAAATCAATTTAGTCGATATTTAGTTGATTCTTAACAGGGATGCGATTTACCTTTGATCAAAAATTTGCATCTTACATGTACAATCACTTGATTGTGCGATTGTAAAGTAACTACGTACCCCAGGATCGCCAACAAAATTACTATGTAACTATAGTTGGTGGTAGAATTATTGAATTACAACATTATGGCATTTTACCAGATGGTAGAATTATAGCGCTTTGCAAAAAGATGTGGCCACATGATTATTGTGATGATGATGGCGGAGAATCGCTGGGATTCTAAATGTAAAACCGAAATTTAAGAATTTATATAAAATTATTTACTTATATTTTAATTACGCAATTAATCATTATAAAAACTAATATAGTTTTTTAATAATTATAAATATATTTGCACATTCTTTATCGATCAATATATATTTATAAATTTTTTTCAACATATAATTTTAATGGCTAATGTCCAAGAAACAAAACTTAAATTCGTCGAGAAACCTGTTTTAGTTGTCAAAAATGCTTGTACTGCAAATCAGATGTGTCACATCAAGATAATCGAACTGCTGCAGTCAAATATGCATTTACACGGGTATTTTGACCAAACTGGATAAAGAACAAGCAGAATATGTTCATCAAAAGATAATGTTTTACAATTAACTGAAGCTAGAAATGGTTAAAACTGGAAATTTTAAATATTTTTATATAAAATTTTTAAAATTTTTTGAGAGTATATTTTTTTAGTTTTTTTTTATAGTTAGTTTTTATATTAAGAATATATAAGTGAATTTTAGTAAGGTTTATATTTTTAAATTAAGATTTCTAATTTTCAGTTTTAGCAATTTTTATTTTAGTTATAACAATTATTTATTAAACCATGAATAGTTTATGCTTACTAATTAAATTTAAAAAATAAAATTAAAATATTGTGTAAATATATATATAAACTTGAATAATAATTAATAAATGTATTTACTAAATTGATAAAAGTAAAATTAAATAAGAATTATGTTATAATAGATATTTATAATTTAAATAACTTTTTTTATATACAAACTAAATTAATAAAATAATATAGTAATAATATTAATATATTTATTTCTGCAATTTATTATATACTTGAGGTCATATTATCATTCTTCTCACTGATCTTTAGTTCCAAAGCAAAGCAGAAAACAAAACATAAAATATAATCAAAACAGAATAGCAAACAGTCCTTAGGCCCTTAAGAAAAAAGAGTTTATGTTTAAAAATACATAAACTACAATAAAAGTGTAACAATAAAAAATATATTTTTAACAAACTAAACTTGCTTTAGAAAACTTTTATTTTTTTTAGTATAAAACTTGAAAGGTTAGAAAATTACAATTAACTCTAAAAAACAGAAAGAAAACACATGACTGACTAAACAACAATAACAAACAACAAATAACAAAGTTATGTTCTAAATTAGAAAACAGATAGATAAATTAGTAGTAGGTAGTAACATAACACAGAATACACATAAACAACTCAAATAAAATATTATACAATATAGAAGCTTAACAAACAGATTAAATAGATCAGACCAGTGACACAAACATTATGTACTACATTAAGAAAGCAGGTAATAAAATCAAAAGTATTTAAGTTCTGAATTGTTGAATCAAATTCTAATAACATCTGCAAAAAAACCAAGTAATATAGAACATATAGCAAAGGACCTAACAATAAACAACCCAACCTATATTATACTAAGTAATGTACTACTCTATGGACAAATTCTTATAACTTTGAGTTTAGTAGAATTAAGTTGACTTGAAGAAAATATAATAGATGAATGGGCACAAAAGCTCAGACTAATAAATCAAAACCCAAAGTCAACTGAATATATTACAAACATAAGCAAAGAAGAAATACTTAAAAAAGAGAGAAAAATGGAATAGATAAAAAAATTGAATAGTATGAAAAAGATACAAATATTAATAATAAAAAAAAGATATCAAGATGTAGCAAAAGAAGAAATACTTCAAGAAAAACAAATTTAAGCAATAAACAAAATCATTAAATAAATGGAGAAGCTTAACATCAATACAATACAGGATATATAACAAAAAAACTCTTTATTAAATACAAACCAAGCTCCTATAAGCAAATTAAATAAAGCAAAAGAAGTAAGAGGAAAAAATATAAAGAAGGACATAGAAGGTCAAGGAAATAACATTATCCAAGATGTTAAAAAAATATAAAAAACATTGATAAGAAAATAATAAAATTAAAAGAAGAAAATATGATCTATAAAAATCCAACTTTTATCAACATAATTGAGTACAATCAATAGTTATCAGAAAATAGAGTATGTAGCAAGAACATGTTCTTCAAGACAAACATGTCTGCATATATCTTGGCAGAAGAATCAAGTAATAAAAAGATAAAATATATATAATGGATTTTGGACAAAAACTATTATATTAAAGTAATAATAAGTTTTTAAGAATGGAAACAACTAGGTAAAAGTAGACTTTGATTGCGAACATAGTCAAGATACAGTAATGAACAGAATTCAAAAAAAAGAAGTTGAATAACTCAAGCTTATCATAGAAAAAAAGAAGAACAAAAAACTAAAACTCAAACAACAAGTCAAAAATAACAACAAAAAAAAAAAAGAGATATATATAAACCAATCTAGAAGAAAAGAATATAAAAAGAAAAAAGACTTGTTTACAACAGAAAATGAAACAAATTCATATAACTGTTTTACAATATGGAACTTACTTGTAAACATCAATACAGAAGAAATCAAACATATATGCAAAAGCTTCAAGAAGGTACAAATAACATGTATTAAAAGATCTAAACACAAGACATTAGCAGTAGTTCAAGTAGATCAACTTACTGATAAGAACATTTTATAGATTTTGTTAATCAGTATTCATAATTTGGCAAGAGTAACCAAAAGCAATGAAGATTACACCCAATATAATCTTTAAAACTTGTTCACAACAAAATTAACAGGGATTCTAGGTAATACTTCAGAAGTTTTGTTACTATGCTTCTTAAAAAATAAGAGAGCAAAATCAGTTTACATACTACCTAACAGAAATAAAAACCAAAAAAGAGCAGCAACAATCATCTTTGCATCAGAAGAAGAAATAGAAACAGCATAATTCAAACCAATAAGATTTAATAACCATCTTCTATATTGGAAAAACTTTCAAGAAAAATGGAATTAAAAGAAAGAAGATAGTAATAGTCAAAGATATCCAAATACAGAAAATACATATATTAATGTAAATAAAGAAGAGCAGAAGGTTGACAAAAAAGAAATAACCAAAAGAGAAAACAACAAAAGCAAAGGTGGCAGTCAAATAAAACAAACAAAAGAAGATAATCCCAAACTACAAATATAAGATTTGCTTCAAAGAATATTAAAAAGACTAGACAGACTTGAAGTTCAACAAGACAAATTAATAGAAAAAATGCAGCTAAGAACAGAAGATGGCTTAGTTAATCACTTCTAAGAGCATCTCAGTTGAACTAATAAAAATAAATAAAAAGTTTGAAGGTTTTCTATAAAGAAAAGAAGAAATATTCAAGAAAAGCATAACAACTTCTTACCAAAAAGAAAAGAAAACTAGAAAAGAAAAAAAAAAAACAGAAAATATAAAAGCAGAACAAGACCAATTAAAAGAAAAATAGAAACAAAGGAAAAAAGAGATTAAAATAGCATATCATAATGTTAATCGACTAAAAACCAAAAGGTAAAAGCTTGAAAATCTGCTTGGCTGGGCAAAAGAAAAAGAAATTGCAATATTAGAAGTTATAAAAACAAATATTACTAAAAGAGAAGGAAGGTTTCTAGCATATGCATTAAACAAAAACTATTAAGATACTCAACAAATTTAGCAGAAGATAAGAAAAAGATTAAAAATAAAAGTTCTAATAAAAGAACAATAGGAAAAGCATGTAGATGCAATTAAGAGAATAAGTGAATACATGATAGAGATCACACTATACTTTAAGCAATTGAAGTTAGTAATAATAGGAGTTTATATACTATCAAATAACAAGACAATAAAAAAAAACATCTAATAAAAGATTATAGAGATAGTTACTAAATAAAAAAGACAAACACAAGTTGTGATTATGGGTGATTTTAATCATATAGCAGACAATATATTAGATAGACAACACTTACAATTAGCAAATTTTAAAAGACTATCAAACTTTAATTGGATAAAAAAACAAGACTTCATAGACACATATAGAAATATGCATTCAATAAGCCAAAAGTACATATGGTCAAACAAGGAAGCTGTAACAAGAATTGAC